TAATAATAAAACCTCCAAAGCTTGGATACCTTCAAATAAACATCTTTCAAACAAGAACATTCTCGTTTCATTTTTTTTTAATACAAGAACACCATCGATATGAATCCTGATAAAAGCAGCTTGGAACATGTGGTGGGAATGAAGGAGATGACGCGTATGAGATGGCAGCGAGTGCAAACGCCACACAATAGTGGATGAAAATTGCTACTTCGTAATCGTTTACGAGGAAAGGAAGAAAAAAAAAGTGAATACTTTCACTCAAGTATTACGTCGAGTCGTACGCTCGTAAAACTTGCGCCGTACAGGAAATTCACTTTCACTCAAAAAGGAAAGGTTTAAAAAGCGGATCCGACGCGGGCTAGGCCCCAGGCCTGTCTGGAAGTTTGGAGTTACTCACTCTGATGGGAAGAGCCGCAACTCGTCGATTTTGCCCAGAAACCCGAACAGAGTTTTCATCTGCTCCGAGGTGGCGCTCGGCGAAACATTGGTCACTTGAATGACGTCTGTAGCCATCTCGCGTTTTTAAAAAAATGTTTTATTTTTTTTAAAAGTAATTACTTTCTCGATCCAATTTTTTTCAACGACGTTTTCTTGAACCTAAGACATTAAGAATACAGAAGAAAATAAACTATATATGACAATTTACAGATAATTTAATCGGCGCTGAAAACTCCCGGGTCTTCGCCCCGAAACCTTCAATAACAACGGGCAAGCTCCGCGGTATCCCACAATCCGGCGCGATTCAACGCGCAAGCGCAGCACTATCTTTCCTTCCCCTGGCGGCGGGCGGGAGGAAGTGAACATCTTTCCGCCTAAAAATCAGGCCTAGGCGACTACCATCTTCGGGAGATTTCCGAGCATTTACCACCACAAAAGAAATGCAAAGTAAATAACATTTCTGCCTTGCAACATCTGTGGAGAGAAGCAGAGTCAACATTTCTCAGATGTTATCAGACCTGCTGAGTTTCTCCAGCAATATTTATTTTGTTTCAGATTTCCAGCATCCACAGTTCTTTGTTTTATACTAACATTACTGCCTTTATGGTCTTCCTATTTATCCCCAAAAGAAGTCAAGTTTTCTTCCTCTTCAGTGCTTATCATTTTCTGTGGGCGAACTAATTGTCTTGGTGCAATGCTTTTCCCACAACAAATGCTTCAAAGATTTGAAATACATTCCCAGAGGATTTTGCTTAAGTGAAATATAAATAGAAAGTGTTGTAAATACTGGGCAAGTCAGGCAGCATCTGCAGAGAAAGCACAGTTAATGTTTCACATTAGTATTTTGTAAAGTGGTGAGAAGCTTGTAACCAAATGCAGCAGCAACGTCTGGACAACATTCAACTTTTGAGTGGAAAAATAAATCAGCAATGTTCATGCCACACAAGTTCCAAGCAATCCATAAAAGAAAGTTTAATCACTTCCCCATAACATTCAAAGGCATTGCTGAATCCTGCTCTATGAACATCTGTGTGTAACCCTTGACCATGCAGAAACTTGGAACAGCCACCATATATACCATGCCACAAGTCCAGGTCAGAGGCTGAGAATTCTGCAACAACTTACGCATCCCCTACCTCAACAAAGCTTTTCGCTATTTACAGAGCACAAACCAGGAATGTGATGCATTACTTTCCACTTGCCTGAATAAGTACAATTCCTTCAGTTCAAGATCTAGGGCAAGGTGAATTGCACCATATCTACCACTTCAAGCATTCAGCTGGAGTGTGTACCATATTAGAGATGCACTACAAACATTTTTCAATGCTACTTCTACAGCATCTTCCAATTTGAGACTTACACCACCCAAGAGGACAAGGGCACCAACAAGGACATGGAACACTAGTCATGTACCATTCTGACTTGGAACTATATCACAGTTCCTTCAACATCCCTGCTCAGGAAGTGTTCCAATTTCCTGAGTCCCCTTCAATCCCAACATTCTTTCTTAGAATCAATGAATCAAACTGAGTATTTGATAATTTCAAAATTATAAGTCTCTCGTTTTCAATGGAATGACACAGTATTTTTTTCTCCACTTAATATCATTACCACCTGCATATATTAAAGTTGAAGCTTGAAACAATAATATTTTTGGGGAAAACGTCAATATAAAAACTTTAATGAGGTAAAAAGCTATTTTTGAACCATTAATTGGAAAACCTAGGTAAAGAAGCTTAATGTGTAGATATAATTTAGGCAACTATCAGGAAAAAGAATAAAACATTTTTCACATGATGGTCAAACCTAGATGAATTCTAGCTTTAAAAAAGCTGCTATATGGTAGTTCTAACGAGGAGGCGGCCTTAGAAATTGGCAATATTGAAAAACTAAGAATGTTTTTTGTTCAGAGACAGAATAAGAAAAGAAATGGATAATGTCACATGCATTTTCTTTTGTTTACAATTTCTTTGTGTAAATGTAAGTTATTAAATCACATATTTTCTCTCTAAGTTCAGCTTGACAGCTGTCTGCTTAAAGCTACTGAATAAGCTTGCAAAAGTATTCAGCAGAGAACACTTTCAACAATCTAAAGGATTCCTCTGCTACTAGGAAGTGAGACAGTTTTGTTTGTTAAATACATAGAATGCCATCAAAAACTGCCAGCATTCTTTGCAACCGAAAAGCTCCTGAAACATTGAATGCACAAAACAGCTTCTGGGTACAGCTGCTCAGTGGTTAGCACTGCTGTCTCACAGTGGCAGGGATTGGGGTACAATTCTCGCCTTCGGTGACTGTGTGAAGTTTGCACATTCTCCCCATGTCTGTGTGAGTTTCTGCTGTGTGCTCCAGTTTCCTCCCACAGTCCATAGATATGAAGGTTAGGTAGGTTGGCCATGCTAAGATTGTCCGTAGTGTCCAGAGATGTGCAGGATCAGCCATGGTAGACATGGAGTTAGGGGGATGCGGTAGGAGGCTGAGTCTGGGTGGGATGCTCTTCAGTTGCAGATTCAATGGGCGGAATGGCATCCTTCTGTAGGGATTCTATGATTCTATAAACATGAGTATTTCCATTATCATTTGTGACATAATAGTACATTTTTATTTTAATATACAATGTCCACAAAATACTAATGAAACATGCATTTTCTTTTTTAATATTATATTTGCCGTTTTAACTTTTTGGAATGTTACTGTATTCAGTTTTGCTGCAAGATGTCAAAATTATCATAGAATCCCTACAGTGTTGAAACAGGCCCTTCAGCCCAACAAGTCCACACCCCTAATCTACACATTCTGGAACATAATGGGCAATTTAGCATGGCCAATCTACCTATCTTGCACATCTTTGGAGTGTGGGAGAAAACCCACACAGACATGGGGAAATGTGTAAACTCCACACAAACAGTTACCTGAGGGTGGAATTGAACCTGGGTCCCTAGTGCTGTAGAGCAGCAGTGCTAACCACTGAGCCACTGTGCTGGAAGTAAATTTTGTTATGCTGTACATCAGTCTTGTGTTTGTTGATTTTGTTCACTTTATAGACATTCTTGATCTGAGTGTTGGTTCACTGGGTTCAAATATCACTTTAGGGACTTGAACACAAAGTGTGGTCAACCACTCCACTGCAGTACTGAGGGAGTGTTAAAATATCATAGATATTTTTGTACACATAACATGTTAAACTAAGACCTTGCATGTCCGCTTGTGCATGTAGAAGCTTGCATGTTTCTGTTCATATTTCAGGTAAGTCTCCTTCTACTTTCATTGCTGCTTCCCATTCTTATCCATGATGTCTATGTGCTTCAGACTGGTGCCAACAGTAAGAAGTTTGATTCAAATAAAAGCAAAATACATTGTATGCTGGAACTCTGAAACAAGCACAGAATACTGGAGAACACAGCAGGTCGAGCAGCATCCATGGAGGGAGAAAGAAATTCAATGTTTTGAGCCTGGTATGACTTCAGAAGAAGAGATATTCCGGACTCAAATATTAACACTGTTTCTCTTTTCACAAAGGAGTTTGATTCCCCTTCCAGCTGGGTTGAATTTGGGAGATACCTCCTTCCTCTACCCATGGTTGAAAATATGACCTTGTAGGTCTGATCTGCTTTCAGCTAGAGAACTCAAGAAGCTTCTGGATTCACCTGGAATCAGAAAGCTTTTCCATATCCACTTCCTCAAACCACATTTTGAATTTGAAAACTCTCTTTCTGGCTCCTTTTATCATGTCTTTACCAATGAAAAGAACCACAACCTGCTCATCTTTTTCTAATAGTTGCATCTTTTCATTTCTGGTAATATCCTTGTAGTATTTTTCTAAACTTTCTCCAGGGTTTCATTATCTTTCGGTTGACCAGAACTGAATAAAATACTTTGAATGTGGTGTTGACAAAGGTGTATGCCAACTTGTACTGTTAATTTGTTTCAAATTCCATTCATTTGGAAATGACGCTCTTAAGTGTGTTTCTACCGATCATTTGCTTTACTATTCCGTTTGCCAAAATGAACTAGCTGTGCCTCATGTTTTGCTATGAAACGGTTTACTCATTCTCAAGACATTTATTTGTTCCTGAATTTGATGCAGTCCTGATTACGAGATATATCCACTGTTTATTATTGTTTGTAAATTTTCATACCATACCTACAATTTGAGCCCGTCACTTTTGCATAATGGTAAAAACTTCGCATTTTTTTTGCAGTCAGAAACCACCCTTCTTTATTCCCACTTGTTTACCTAGCAGGTACAATGCTTGCCTCACTCGATTGATTAGCTTACATTAAGCCAGATTACCGAGGCAATTTTTGTTTTACCAAAACAGAGACGATGTAATGCTTTCCAAAAAAGCAATGATCTCTTAGGAGAAGCGCCGACTGTGTCAATAATTCGTCCGCACAAGAAACAACAAACCGGTTGCGTTTGGGAGGAGAATGTGCATTAAGAGAACGGCCCGCCCCAGGAATCTCTCGCGCAGCGGTCGGTTGGGGGCGGGCGCGAGCGTGAGCGACGACGGTTGGCGCGGGCGCGGCCGCGGCCTATTGCCCGGATCTGGACGGTGAGGGCTGGGAGGTTGGTCAGCCGGGTTCTAGTCTCAATGTCTCGCAGGGAGGGTAGCAGGTTCGCCAATCGCAGGCCAGGCTCAGCATTTCAATCTCGGGCAACCGAGCCGCCTGTGCCTGCTGGCTTAATTAAAACGGCCAGGAAAAGTGGACAGCTGAATCTTTCCAATAGAGAGTTGAGCGAGGGTGAGTCGGCTACCTCTTATAGGGAGGGTGAACATTGACTGTTGTGGTACTCTGCAACATTTCTTTGCCCTCACCATTGTATTCACAAATGAGTGATTTTTGTGCCCACGTGTTCAAAACCATGTTTAAATTCGATTGTTTCATTTTCCTTGGAGATGAAAGTAACTCGTTTGAGTGCTTGTAGATCGCTTGGCGAACGCTGTTATGTTTTAACTGAAAGAAAAACACAAGCTGCATTTCTTTGGCAAAGATGGTCGAGCGTTTGTACAGGGCTATCTAAATAAGCTACTTCCAAGTCCACTAAGTACGTCAATTGCGGCTGTGTTGATTGCGCCCCAACCACCCAGTCAAGTGATTATAGATTCAAGTTGTTCTCGAGGTTACATAAATATAAATATTTTTGGCTGCTGCTGCTTCCCATTGCAGAACGAATGAAGCAGCCTTCCGGAAGAGATACTAAAAAAATGAGATGCAATTTCAGAGATAAGTAGCAGAATTATCCCATGTGCAGGCCAAATGTTTTTACCTCACTAACATCACACAAAAAGACTAATTACTTGGCCATAGGAGAAAGCAAGAACTGCAGCTGCTGGAGTCAGAGACAACACAGTGTGGAGTTGGAGGAACACAGCAGGCCAGGCAGTATCAGAGGAGCAGGAAAGTTGACATTTTGGGTCGGGACCCTTCCTAATTTTGTCGCTTGTGGGAGCTTGCTATGTGAAAATTGAACATAGAACAGTACATCACAGTACGGGCCCTTCGGCCCACGATGTTGTGCTGACCTATTATCCTACTCTAAGATCAAACTATCCTCCATACCCTACATTTTACTATCATCCATGTGCCTATTCCAAGAGTCACTTAAATGTCCCTAATGTATCTGACTCCACTAACACCGCCGGCAGCGCATTCCATGGACCCACCACTCTCCTGTGTAAAGAAAATTGATTGCCATATTTTCTATATCAATGACAAAATATTTCATTGGCTGCTGAATGCTTTAGGATGTATTGAGACTGTGAAAGATCTTGTAGAAATGCAAGTTATTTTTTGTTCCTGTAAGGGCTACACTTACTTGGAAATATGAAATTAGATGCTTGGATTAATACTTGTTTGCCACCAGGGAGTGTCGGTCAGCTAATGTATGCTGTGCTATGCCATAACATGTAACCATCACATGGTGAAAATCTAACACTTGCATAATTTCTTCTTCAAACATGTCTGCAATAATATTACTATTAAGGACTTGCTTATCTAATATGTCTGACTTTGGAACATATTTTCATTTCATAAGCACTCCATCTTGCTTGGATGATGATATAACCCTTCTAAGGTTGATCCCTAATTTTAAGGCTACTCTAAGGTGGTATTTACTTTTGTGATCTTTGTTATAGGCAATGATGAGATCTAAACAGGCTGTGTTTCGCTTGTCACATCTTGTTCAGATGCATTATTATAAAAAAAACAATGTTTGTGAATGTTCAGAATTAAACTGTATTGTAATTGCTATTTGTATTTTAATTTAGTGCCTCAGAGCGTATGGCGGATAAATGTGGACCCCCCAGAAGAATCCTACTTGAATGTCTCCTTTACTGCAAGTGACCGATGGTGGGATCAGACAGATTTAACTAAACTTATCTTGGCATCGAACAAACTGCAATGCTTATCGGAGGATATTCAGCTCCTACCAGCCCTCATAGTGCTTGATGTAAATATAACTCTAACAGAGCATTGAAAATTATTTTAAGGTATCTGTATTAGAATAGAATGCAATATATACAGAGTATGCTTTTATATTTACCCATTACTTAGAAAAATGGAACTTAGTGTCCCTACTCTAGTACTGCACTGCCCTACTACTACTAAAATAGATATTGTTTCTAATTTAATTGTAAGCTGCAGTTGTCCTACTCTAGCTAAACCTATATCATTTGTGAAGGGGAGTCGGGGAAAGCATTTCCCTATTAAAGCACTTTCAGGATGATCGTTTAGAATGTGCGATTGAATGATAGTTTGATGGCATCATCAGTCAAATTTGACACTTAAGCTTACTCAAAATCAATTAGAACAAATTTTAGTTACATTATGGGAAAGTAGCTAGTCAGGAGCAATGTTGGCCTACCAATGACTGAAAGTGGAGATATTGGCAATGACGATGGGAATTGGCAGACATGTTGAATAATTACTTTGCCTCAGTCTTCATTGCTCAGTCCTTTGAGTATAGGAGTTGGGAAACGTGTTGAGATTGTACAGGGCATTGGTGAGGCCAATTCTGGTTGCCCTGTAGGAAGAACAATATTATTAAGCTAGAGAGAGTTCAGAAGAGATTTACCATGATATTGCTGGCTTTGGAAGGTTTGAGTTATAAAGAAAGGCTGGATAACCTGGGGCTTTCCTCACTGGAGACTAGGACGTTGAGAGGTGACCATATAGAGGTTTATAAAATCGTCAGGAATGTAGATAGAGTTAATGGTAGGTGTCTTCCCCCTAGATGGGGAATCTCCAGACTAGGGGCATATTTTTACCATGAGAGGAGAGAGATTTTAAAAAGACATGGGGGCAGTTCATTTTTACACAGAGGGTGGTTTGTGTGTGAAATTAACTTCCTGAAAAAGTAATTGATGCGGTCACAGTTATAATGTTTAACAGATACTTAAATAAGTACGAAAGTATGAAAGATTTGGAGGGATATGGGACTAGTTTATTTTGGGATTATGTTCGGTATGTCCTGGTTGGATCGAAGAGTCTGTTTCTATGCTATATGACTCTGACTCTAAATCCTGAAGAATATAATAGTTGATTGGGAATGGAACTGGAATAAAATTAACATGAATAAAACATTAATAGTGAGGAACTTAATGGAACTAGTGAGCAGGTCTGGGCAGTACATCTTAGAATGGATGTATCAGCCTTGGAAGGGGTACAATGTAGGTTTATAAGAATGACTTCAGGGGTTAAATTAGGGGGATAGATTATAGAAATTAGGCCTGTTTTCTTGATAATTTAGAAGATTAAGGGTTGATCTGATTGAAGTCTTCAAGATGATAATAGGAGAGGACAAAGTGGATAAAGATAGACTTTTTCCACAGGTTTTGGCCTCTAAAACTACGGAGCATAGTCTGAGAATTAGAGCCAGACCATTCAGGAGAGATGTCAGGAAGCACTTCAAGCACAGAATGGTAGATGTTTGGAACAGTCTTCCACAAATGGATGCAGATACCATTGTTAAATCTATCTATCTCAAATTAAAATTTTGTTAAGCCAAGGTATTAAGGGATATGGGCCAAAAGTAGGTATATACAGTTTGGCCACAGATTAGCTATGATCTTATTGAATGGTGGAACAAGCTTGAGGGGCTGAATGGCCTACTCAGGTTCCTATGTTCCTAACTGGAGACAAACCAATCAGTTATGAATATATCTTTAAAACTAGCCTGAAATAAATTTAATACAGAAAAATATGATCAAGTAAAAAAATGCATAATAATTTAACTGTTTCCAAAAGACATTTATGTAAGAAAACCCTGTTATAGCTAAGTAATCACTCTTGCCTGCAACTAGGAATTGAAGATACCAGTCTTGATTTTTAAAGTATGAAATCTTGTACTTTTGATACACTTCGGCAGTGAGGTTAGTTTGGGTGTAAGAAATATTTAGTGCATCCAAGAAGGGGAAGAATATTTAATACGATGTGTACTGGTCAAACCTTTGATTTTTCAGAGATTTCTATTCAAGGGAACCATTGAAGTAATGGTGAATATTTCTGCCGTATAGCAACCTCAGTAAAAGACTCACTAGAAACGTTGTGTTTTTTCCTTTTAGAATGGAAGGGGAATTGATTTTTGACTGTATTTCTTTCTTAAATGTCAATTCTTTTAAACTGGATTCCAGTAGTATGTTTTGATTTATCACTTTATTGATGGCTAAATCATACTTCAAGGAAAAATGTTCCTGAATTAGACAACTTAAAATGCATGTTTATTTAAGGTAAAGGTATATCATGAGTGCATTCAATTGAATAATGTGCTGTATAACAGATCTTTACCTATCGGTCATGTTATTGACTTAGAACAAATGGTTCCAGGTCCACGATAATCTCCTGAGTTCGCTACCTTGTGCAATTGGACAGCTGTCACAACTTCAGAAGCTCAATATTAGGTACTGTAAGTGTGAATTCATTTAAATTTTTTGAGATGGTGTGATTTACCTATGTTAAAATAACCAAATAGAATTCCATGCAAGTTAGAACTGCATCAATCAAACCCAGAAGATCTTTTAAGGTCTGGAGGTGAGGTGAGCATGGAAAGATGTTTCCTTTTCTGAATCAGTCCAAAGCCTATGGGCACTGTTTTAAAATTGAGTTGCTCTTTTAGGACAGAGGTGTCTTACAAGGGTGACTTTTAGGACAAGGAAGTAAATTTTTCCCTGAGGGTGTTTAACTTTAGTCCTTGCTGCTTCAGAAGACAGTGGAGGCAGGGTTAATAAATATTCTTAAGACAGAGGTAGATTGATTTCCTTAAAGAAAAGGTTATAGGGAGTAGATGGAAATGTGGAATTTGAAACAGATCAAACAGTTCAGCCAACATCTTGTTAAATGGCAGACAGACTCAAGGGTCAGTTGATCTACTTGTGCTCTAATTTCGTATGTTCATCTATTCATTGACTCTAATAAACCTCCCCATCGTTGCTGGGTCCGATCTGTCACCTATCGACTTTCTCATTATCCTCCAGTCCTCTGCCACTGGAAATACATTTAGAATTAGAATTAGTTCTAATTGCCACATGTATTCACATGTGTACAGTGAATAGTTTACAAGTCGCCACTTATGGTGCCATTTTGTGTACACATGTACCTAGGTACAGATTCTTAAGTACATATTCTTCAGAAAAAAATCAGAAAAATAAGGAAATAAGAGGTTCATAATAACGTATGTCTTAACACACCTATTATCCACATCTGTGACGTTTCCCATTTCATGAAGGTTGCATGTTTGTTCCCTTCCAGGTGAGAAAGTTTCACCTGACTTCTCTTTATAACTTCTCAATTTTTAATGTGTAGTCTGCTATTTAAAATAGTCAGTATACTAATTTACCTTGATCAATTTTGCCTTCTTTTGTTAGTAATCTTTTAAACTTTAAGTTGTCAGCTATATATTTCTAAAAAGCAAAGTTCAGCTTCACTTGTACTTCCTCATTTTAAAATCTTAGCAGCTGAAATTGTCTTTGAATTTGTTTCTGTATCCTTTGACAATAATGACCAGGACTTCAATGTTTGTAATGACACAAAACTGCTTGTGTTCCTCGTGTTTGCAGTCATTACAACGGTGAAGCTGACTGTGTATTTCTGGGATCAGCACTCATGCAGAGGTTCAGAAGATGCTGTTGTTGATGCCCTGCTTTTCCACTGGGTGCTTTTTTGAAGTCCCTGTGAATGAAATCTTAAGAATTAATATGAAATTCCATTTTAAGTACTAGTCTTGCTGTAAAAAAAACTTCAAAAACAGTTCTGATTTGTTGATAGAGTACACCTTTTTTTTTTGAACCTGTGAATTAAGTTCATAATTAAAGAACAACAACTTCTCTGGCCTGATAAACTTTGTGGATTGGCAAAATTCTCCATTTTGATGAAGAAATAGTGAGCAAAGTAATTAAGAAAGTAAATATGGCACCATTGAGATAAATAAAGTTGTAGTGAAATTTTAAAAAGTTCGAGGTAAGCAAGTTGTTGAAAAATCAAAACAAAGATATCTTGTAAGAATTCCAGATTAATGTCAGTGCTGCTGCTGGCAAAGAAGGATTCAGCTCAACTTCAGAGTTTCAATTAATCTTCAAGATATTAACAGGAGAGGACTAAGTGGATAATGATAGACTTTTTCCACTGGTTGTGGCTTCTAAAACTAGGGAGCATAGTCTGAGAATTAGGGCCAGACCATTCAGGAGAGATGTCAGGAAGCGCTTCTATGCACAGAATGGTAGACGTTTGGAACAGTCTTCCACAAATGGATGCAGATACCATTGTTAATTGGTATAAATAAATTACTGCTTAAAGTCACATTGATTCTGGACCCCATGTAATCTCATGGCATTTGGTCAGATAAGGGCAAGGAAATCTTTTAGCTTCTCCAGCATTTTGATTTTAATGCAGTACCAGGCATACCTTAAAATGAGATGTCAAATTGCTGAAGCGACAATACAAGATAACTTGCATGTCAAACAGCATAAGCAGCAAGTAATAATGGCTAAATGATTCCAAAGCCAACAGATCAGATTTAAGCGCTGCAGGTGTGCCGCATCTAATCATGAATTGATTAATTGTTCATCACCATTCATAAATGCAAAAGATAAGGCTGAAGCAATTGGAACAACCTTCAGCCAGTAGTGCATCTTGGATTCTTCAGAGATTGCCAGCATCACAGATACTAAACTTCAGCCAATTTGATATCATCCACATGATGGTCAAGAAATGACTGAAAGCCCTGGATACTGCAAAGATTATGAACCTGATGACATTCCAGCAATAGTACTGCAGACGTGCTCCAGAACTTGTTGCACCTTAAGCCACATATTCCAGTAAAGTGATGGAAATCATCACCAACAATGCTATCATGCAGCACTTGCTGAGCTCAAATGCTCACCGATGCTCAGTTTGAGTTTTGTCAGGGCTACTTAGCACCTGATCTCATTACAACCTTGCTTCAAACATGGACAAAAGAGCTGAACTCCAGAGGTGAGGTGAAAGTTACTGCTCTTGACATTAAGATCACATTTGACTGAGTGGCATCAGAGAGCCCTAACAAAACTAGAGTCAATGGAAATTCCACAATAGAAGATGGTTATGGAATTAAAGGAGGTCAGTCATCTGAGCTCCAGAACATCTCCAGAGGGGTTCCTCAAGACAGCATCATAGGCCCCACCATCTGTAGATGGTTCATAATTACTTTCCCTCCATCATAGGGTCAGAAGTGGGAATATTGTTGATTGTGCAATATTCAGTACCAATTGGGACTCCTCAGTTACTGACATTGTCTATGTCCAAATGCAGCTAGACTAGACAATATCCAGGTTTGGACTGACAAGTGACTAGTAACACTTGCATCACAGAAGAGCCAGGTTATGGCCATCTCCAACAAGAGATGCTCTGACTATTGCAGTTTGACAATCAATAGCACTGCCATCGCTGAATTCCCCCACTACTAGCATCTTGGGTACTACCATCGGCCAGAAACTGAACTGATCTGCCGTACAGATACTCAGCAGATCAGAGACTAGGAATGCTGTAGCAAGTTACTCACTGCCTCATTCCCCAGTCCACCATCAACAAAGGACCAGTTAGGAGGGTGATGGAATACTCCCCATATGCCTGAATGAGTGCAACTCCCACAACACTCAAGCTTGAAACCATCCAGGTCAAAGCAGCCCACTTGATTGGCACCACATTGACAAGCATTCACTGTGTCCACCACTGACACACAGCAACCCCACGTATAAAATGCACTGCAGAAATTCATCAAGGCTTTTTGGACAGTACCTTCCAAACCCACAACCATTGCTATATAGAAGGACAAGGGCAGCAGATACATAGGAACACATGTTCCCCTCCAAGCCATTCACGATCCTGACATGGAAATACTTGCTGTTCTTTCATTGTCACTGGTTCAAAATACTTACGTCTCTCCCTAAGTTCACTCTATTTGACAATTTCCTTGTAAGTAAACTGTATGTTGCACTTCATAGAATAGCATGAATTGTCTTAACTTAAATAACTGTTGTGCTCCCAATGAAGTCTTCTCAATGATGTGGTGACAGATGGTGCTGGGAAACTGGCAGAGCATCTGGTAAAGTGAAATTGCAGGCTTACATGTCTCATTTCTTCACCTATTGGTCTCTTACAATCCTCCCCTTGGCATCAGACCTATCCATCTAATTATACAAGCAAAATTTATAAATTGTTGGCTTTGCCTGCTGGAATTTTGCTTACCTGAAGGTTTGACTTTTGAGTATTATCGTTCATGCTATTGTGGATATAGTCTTTAAAACAGCCATTTCAGCCTTTCAGGGGTCAAACAATCAATTCTATGAGGGAAAAAAAAAACCATCTTTCAAAATTTCAGATTTCAATTTTAAATATGCAAATTCGGAAACAATGCAAATTTGCAACCCTTTTGGATGTAGTAACATCCACGTGTGATTGGGAATCCAAAGCTCAAATCCTGTTGATGAAATTAACTGAGCATTACGTACAACTTTTACTTTGCATCAGCTAACACCGGTTATTTGTATTGATCGGTTTGTGATGGATTCCTTTAATGTGTAATAGAACTATTAAGAGTTGACTGGCCATGTTTTGATCAGTTTGTGATGGATTCCTTTTAATGTCTAATAGAACTGCTAAGAGTCAACTTGCCATGTTAACAGTAGTTAAATTAATTCTGCTGTTAAAATAGCCAGGAGGTATAATTATCTTGTATGAATATGTTGTGAATTTAGGGACTCCCACTTAATAGACATCTGAAGACCACTTATTGTCAAATAGCTGAGCCAGTGAAATTGGTGCAGCTACAATTTACATTTGTTGGTCATGCAACTTAGAACCCTTTTGATGTCTACTGTCACTTGTAGACTAACAAAGACATAATTGCATTTGACAAAGTATATTTATTAGCTAGCTAGCATATATGTAGGCTGGGTAATCATTTTTAAAGTCTCTTCATTTGGCATGGTGCAAACATGGCCTTGCTGCTCTCCAAATCTGCCCCCACTCTCTCCTGTCTTGCCCGCCTTCTTTCATTCCTTTCATCGCTTATTCTCGCCATCCTGCCTGGCAGCTGTTCTGTCTGCCCTGCAGCACTCACCTCTACCCACACTCACCTTCACCGTTCCTCCAGGCCCAGCCTTTGCATCTGACCCAGTGCTGTTTGCTTCAAAGGGCATGACACTAACAAATCATAGTTAATCTAAATGCCAACCAACAATTGTGGGTATTGTTTAATACCACTTTTAAGGGTTTAAGTAACACTTACAAAATAATCTAATGTAAAATTTTGTGATCCAATGAGCAGTGATCCATTTTAGCTATGAAATATGTCCATAGTATTTGTGTGTGGATTGTATTGTATAAAATATTGACTGCTAAAATTCGTCGGAAGTAGCATGTCATCATCATATCTTTACAAATGCATTTGTGTGAAAGTCATACAATGTAAATCCATGGTTGAAAAGTGTAAATGTGTGGATTGAAACAATTTTTTTTCTGCCTTTCAATCCATAGCCACAATAAACTAAAGGAGTTGCCAGATGAGCTGTGGAATTTAACGAGTTTGAGAAGTTTGTATCTTCATCACAATGAATTGGAGCGGATTCAAGAGGGCATTGGTAAACTTATTCATTTGGAAGAGCTGGTATGTTGGTGAAATTAAGAGATTCTAAGCATGTCCCTCCCATGATTAAATCAAAAAAATGTTGAAAATAGATAGTATCTAAAGAGAGTACAGATGAGGTGACATTTCAACCTATATCACAGCGGATTCACCAGCTGCACATAAATGTCGTTGAAGTTGGTCACAGTTGTCACATTGGATCCAAGTCAGTCAGTGAGACAGAAACCAAAACACCTTTCTTTGTGTTTAGAGTTTACATTTTATTCAGCTACTTCAGAGATGTTATTACGCATCTTTGTAACCGGTGGGAATTGAACTCAGGATTCCTGCCTCAGAGGTAGAGACAGTATCACTGCATCACTTGGGCTTACGTATAGAGTTCATTAGCTATTCAGTCTTAGGTATTTTCTAATCAACCAGTTCAGAGATGTTATTACACTGTTCTGGGGGAGGTAGGATTTGAACTTAGGTCACTACCTTTGTACCACAAGAGCCCTACAGCTACTGTCATTGCTTCTTTTGCTACCAGTCCCACCTGTTACCCCTATGCAGTTATAATTAATTGACCCTAATTACCTGCTTAACTACTTGCAAGATTAACAGTAGTTAACTAGATTATCCAAAATGACAATAGTATTGAATCATGAGATGTAAATTGTGTTCACCTGGGCTTTGGTTGTCATTTTTTTTTGAGGCAGTGCAATTTATTTATTGTTGAGTAAGTATAGGCTGTGATCAGAGTTTTATTGTTTCATGGAGGAAGTTTAGAGACTGAATAAATTTTTTAGATTAAGGCTGTTGGTTTGAAGTACATGCTAGAAGCTGTATTATTGTTATACATTGCAAGAGAGTGCAACTTTCTGTATGTCCCTTCATTCACTCTCACTTCTTGCCACTCTGTTTTCCTCACATCCTCTCCTGGACCTTAATTTCCCTTATCTTTTGGTTTTTGTTTAATCCTCTTTCACACTTCCACTCCCTTACCTGCCCCTCTCTCTCTTCCATCCACACAATCTCTCTTTGCTCTATTTCTCCCTCTTTCTTTATTCTTTCTCCAAACCACACTTGCTGAACCTTTTTAACATTTTGTGTATCTCCCTTCCACTTTACTGTTTTTCTCCTTTCCATCACTTCACTGCTACTCTTTTACTACTCCAATCAAGCACTGAATATTTATATTGATTTCCAATTGCTTTATTGCCAGTTTTTAAGTATGCACTTTATTGATATCAGATGCTATGGAATGTTTGATATCACTGACTGTTTGGAAGATTGTTCCAGGAGGGGTTAGTTACAACATAATGTACAGGAGGTTGAAACAGGTCAGCTGTTTCTTCATTGCAGTATATGCAGCCTGATGAAGGATCGCCATTGCAGAAAAGGCAAAATTGCTTTCATCTGTGTTCAAAGTTTGGCTGGAGTATTTCGATAAAGTGGGAATCGCAAAAGGGAGTTCATTTGCTAATGTCATTTGATACAATTGCGTGAATCTACTGATCTGACTGAAGTCACTTTCTGGTGCAGATCAGACTAAAGGTTACCCACTTGCCTTTATTGTAGCTTTTCGGCAAACGTTAACCCAGTTAATGCGGTATGGACGAAACAAAGAATTCTCACAGTCATTGAAATCATAGACCCTTTTACAGCTGTGAGTCCAGTATTTAAATGTTCTTGAGTCATTCTGGAGACTACTGAAAGAAGATAAGTATGTAAAGTAAGTGTCTGTGTAGGCTAGCAAGTGGGTTGAGTGGTAGAGTGCCGGATGGGTGCCTGGTGGGTGTGAACGACTTTGAGTGCTAGTTGGTTGAGAAATACTGGTGCCCTTGCCTATTTGGCTTCCATGTCTCCCTTACCGCCTTTTTTATCCTACTCCGAAAATGTTAGTTACAAATTGGCTATTGGAATGCTGCTTCAGTTATCTGTATTTTACAGGATGTGTCCAGCAATCAACTTACAGCAATTCCAAGCACCCTTGGTGAGCTGTCCAGTCTACTTAAATTCATTCTGGCTAACAACAAACTGAAGTACATACCCTTGGACATTAGCAAAATGAGAAGTAAGATTGTTTAAAAACAAAAGATTGTGTGGAGCAATAGTTTCATGTTTATTTCTTATATCAAAGTTCCCTTATAATTTATTCTAATTTATGCTTGTTGGTGGTTGGGTGTACAAGACAGTTTGCTTCTTACAAATATTACCAGGCGTTACTAAAAATAATTTCATCAAGGAAAATAGTCATTTTTCTTTGTTCTAGATTGGATATGCTGACATCACCATTGTGCTGGTGTGCATTGGAGCTTCATTGCAATATGCTATTGAGTGGACGAACTGCGATTGTTGAAATCAACAGTGTATTGGAACACCACTTGGAGCTCAGTCACACTTTTACATTAAATTCTTTTTTAAACTCAGTTTTAAATTTCTTCGTTTTTTGAACCTGTTTCTGAGATGAGAAAGGAACCTGTCCACAGAATTATTCAGTTTCCCCAACATAATTGAGAAGTATCTTTTGAATGCATTCTTGAATATTAATTTATTGTCCATTACCTGCAGTACCTTGACCTTGCTAGTAAAATGTGTTTTGACTTTGATGGGAGGTAATCAAGCTTCACTACTTCATGAGCTGTAGAAAATGTGTTAATGCTTTATTTAATCACCGAAATGATCAATTTGTTTCTCTTTTTGCTGTTATCTAGATCAAAGAGCCTGTCGCCATGTTCCTTCAAAAAAACTTAAAATATAAGAGATAGTAGCGACTGCAGATGCTGGAGAATCTGAGATAACAAGGTGTAGAGCTGGATGAACACAGCAGGCCGAGCAGCATCAGAGGAGCAGGAAAGCTGACGTTTCGGGTCTAGACCCTGCTTCAGAAAT